CTAGAACCATACGAAATGTACTCTCCTAGATTTCTTACACTACGTTACCATATCTCATCACCAGTTTTGCTCTCGACATAAATGTATTTATTTATTTAGTTTACATTTTTTTTACAAACCAGTCAGTCTCTCTGAACATTAATTACGAGTTGCGCAAGAAGGACTCATTCTTTTATTCGTCATTCATTGCTTTCAATTATTGTTTATTCCAAACCAAGTATACTTTAACGAAGAAAGAATAGATCTTTTCTTTTTAGCTGAACTTTTCGGTTCATTTTTTCTCTTTTTTTCTCCAACATAGAAAAAAAAGTAAAAAAGATAAATCCAAGAAGTTTAACTAAAAAGAACAGATCTTTCTCATAGAGAATATGATCAACGTATCACTACAAATGTTTTGAAGCATTCTTTGATCAGGTAGTTGATAAAATTTTTTTTTCTAATTGACCAATTAAATATTTCAAAACATTTATTTTGACCGCATTCGTAACGTAGCCTATAAGTATCTTCTATTTGTAATCTATAGTATCTTCTATAGTAAAATTGGTATAAATAACATTTTACTGGATCGGCATTTGTCGGTAAGAGCATTGCGTCAAACACGTCATCGGCGCCGCGTTCGGGTTACGGTAGTCTCGGGCGCGGTCGGCCGTCTTCGGCCGGCGTCGGCTACCACGTGTTCGGGCGACCACATGACCGAGCACCGAGCTGTCAGATGTGCGCATCGTTGTGTCGTCGCGCGCGATAACGAACGCCGATACGCGCGATCCATAGTGCGTATAAAGAAACTGGAAACACGGTAGCCCAGCGCAGTGACCACCTGGACCGCTCCCGTCGACTCCAATGTGAACCGCGCTCACCGAGACGTCGACTACCCACACCTCGACGACAGCCAGCGACGCGCACGCAACAAACACCTACAAGCGAGCAACATCAAACATGGCGGCGGAGTACAGCCGCGCGGACTCGTACGTACACATCATGATTCATGCGTTTCCGCTGTGTCATTGCCCTTCGCGCAAGTGGGTTTAATTGCGTGCGAGCGTTTCCATTCGGGAATATTTAGACTCGCAAAGTCTTCGGCGAGAGTTCACTTCGCCAAGAACGATCCTCCGAGAACGTTACTTGCAACGGATCGGAATAATCTCCGGTGTTTTCCAGCGAGAGACGCAGTGTAACACGATGATCATTTTATCTTTGTTTAACATTGGCAAACGACAAGGATGCGATGATGCATCGTGGTCTGTGAACCTTGCTGGAAGGCCAATCCTCTTCTCTCGTGTTTACGATACGGGGAATCGAATTCCTTTCGAAATCACGTCGGTCTCAAGCTGCGTGAGCGAACGTTTACGGCGATTTCCCAACACGGACGCTCGATGGAATACTCGAGCGAATAGGTCGCGGATCGAATTGCGAAATTGCGAGTTGCGAGCTCGTTCACGACTTGGCATCGCGCTCTTTCCAATTTGTCCGCGAGTCAAACTCGCTTTCCCTCCCCTGATCCCCCTGACCCGGCCTGGTCGGATTTTGAGGTTATGCGTGCGGTTAGCCACGTCCGCGGCTCCGTTAGATTCGCGTTGACCCTTGGACTGTCTGATAACAGTACTAGCGCGAGATGTAACGAATGGGTTGGGCCGACGGACTTGCTACAAAGAGTTAGCCTCGCGGCTAACAACATTGCATGTAGTAGGTCAGAATAATTGAAGATCTCCTCACGTTGATCGATTCTTCCCTTACAGCGGTGGTATTAGAAAACAGCTACGGAGCAAACCTTAATTATATTTTTGTTTATTACACGTTCCGTTTTCATAAGAAAAATATGAATTGACGAGTCTGGGCTTGTACTACATGCAGGTAGCTGCACTTGTTGACGGACGTGACGTGTCTTTATTTCGCGGAGAACGGAGTTCCTCGTAGAAAACACGTCCGCTTAAGAAGGTTTCTAGGTTGCCCGACTTTGCATGCGGACTTTAATGACGCGTTGTTTACGTTTGCATTGTCCGTAATTATGCTAAGCACGTGGCTGGCCGTTTCGCACGAGCGACGGGGGAAGAAGCGTGGTCTCTCTTAAAAATACACACAGCTCTCTTTTTGTATTCTTTACATAACGGTTTCCGCGAAATCAGCGTTTAACTTTTCTGTGAATTATTTATAGATCGGCCGCTGATTCGAACAACTCACTGTGTTTCGCTTCCAAAGTGGAGTCAAAAGTTACAATCGAATTATTTTCTCAAACTACTGCAAAATTTTTTATTCCACGTTACTTGTGCTGTTCTTTTTTCTTTTATAAGTTATAACTAAAGGCAATAAATGACGCATGATAGATTGAGTCCCAATGTAACTCAATATTTAGAGAAATTGCATTTGCTTATAAAAAATGTAAAATAAATACGTGTATTATAAATATACTATTAGATATCAAAGTAACAATGATAGCACTTGAGTTAAATATTAAGTCATAAACATTGTCCATATTAATTTGATTATTTAGTAAATAATAAATGAACCAAAATATTTATAATTTGAATGAAAACATTGAGTCGATACATTTTCTTGAATTAAATTATTATATCATTATTTTAGTTGGTTAATTTCATTGAGCAGTGGTGACCTGTAGAGATGATTAAAATTAGTTTGAATTGGGTATAATTTGATATTATAAATTTAGCAGGGTATATTATTAAATATCTGCCGGTGCTCCAAAATTTCGGAGCAGAAAACCTGCTGCTTCTGCTCCAGTCTGTTTCTCGATGACGTAACTGGAGTAGAACGAGGTTCAAGGTACTATCTAACTTTTTCTTTTCGCAGTTGCGGTCATGTGATATTATGTACGTCGTATCGTACTTACGGCAAACAAAACGGCGGGTCGTTATCGCCGTTGTTTGCGAGCCCCTAAATTTTGAGTCGCACCATTTCTACCGTGTTTTTTTTTCAAGTACTGACGTTTTTATGTAACATTAAGCTGGCACGTTTTGTCTTTTTCGTTGATAAACAATGCTGTTATTTGTCTGTTTACACGTCGCATGATAAGAGTATACACGATTATAACGTGACTAAAAAAAAAAAGATTGTTGCAACGCCAAGCAAAACGACGTAAAGTAAATCAGCATCGTCAAGGAAAACTACGTAATCTTTTTGCTCACTGTGATTAGATAACCAAAGTCAATTTTTCCCTTTAGTGGGAAAGATGACGTAACGTTGTCTTACATGCAACGTTTTAAGACGTTACATTTCGGAAAATAATAATTCATGGAACGAATTCATCGCGCTGCTTATTCAGCTGATGTGTAATTTTTTTCACTTGTGTTTATTTTATCTATGTAAGAAATTCATATCGAACGCAGTTTGCTCGATATTGGTGCGAATTTTATTTATGCAGTCCATCAGACGGAACGAAGTTAATAATTAATGTACGACTATGGACTTGCGATTGTTTCGTCTGGAATGCTTTATTCGTGGAATTTTTTTCACTCGGAATTTTTATCGGGTATATTTTTACGGCAATGTATTTAAGTACGTAAACTCAAGGAAAGTTGACAACAGCGTGAAGCTAATAGAAGACATTGATTGCACGTCTGATCCGCGATGTTTTCACTGCTTTCGCGACCAGAACGTATTGTCCAATGTCAAGTAGTAACTCTCTCTTTCTCTCTCTCTCTCTCTCTCTCTCTCTCTCTCTTTCTCTCTCCGTTTTCAGCGCTTGAGAGGAGAATATTCCATAGTACTTAATATATATAATTATTCTCTCTCTCTCTCTTTCTCTTTCTGTCTATTATTATGTCACAATTATTATTATCATTAACATATATTATTATTTTTTTATTATTTTATATGATATCAATCAATTATCTCTCCCTTTATTTCTCCCTCGCTTATTTATAATTTTTGTCTTTGTTGTTTTCATTTTTGTATTTTTATTCTTATTTTGCATTATTATTATTTCGTTATTGTTTTTTTTTCAATTTTTTTTAATTAGTCATTTTTTATATCTAGAGTGCTAATTAATAAACGCTGTATCTATTTATCTCCATCTACATCCGACGTTATTAAAATTCCGAATAGAGATAAAGATAATTAAGCAATTTACAAATGTACGTTTCTTGTTTACGTACAACGTCATTCGCGTCAAGGAAAACCAATATTATAACATCGAATTGTAAACGTATCTATAGTTATGTACACGTTCTCTCTCTCTCTCTCTCTCTCTCTCTCTCTCTCTCTCTCTCTCTCTCTCTCTCTCTCTCTCTCTCTGTTTTTCTCTCTTTCGCTCTTCGGTCGTCACTGCCAGGTTAAATATAATTTTCGAGTAGACATTAAAAGTGATGCACGCGATGCTGTGCGGCTAAATTAGTGTACGTGCGGAATTTAGGGAAGCTTAAACGTGCGCGCGACAGCGACTATACCATGGGGTTGTAGAGGGTTAAGTATAGCGTCCGGTGTACACGTTACCGCGCGTGTATCTCGTTAGCACGCTCTAAGTTTCCTGTGCTCGCCGTCACGCGTTTCGTCTCGAGGGAATATATAGTAGAACAAGAATTGTGTCAGTCAAGAGACGCGAGTCGTCCAATGACACGGCTTAAAATACGAACCGAATACGTATACGCGAGGCCGCACGAAACCACCTCTCTCTCTCTCTCTCTCTCTCGCTCCTTTGTGAGAATACACGTCGCGTCTCGAGTGTTCTATTTATGCTCATACTGTGTAATTACTAGACGCCAAATATCGAGCATGTTGTCTTACAACGCGCGATCTTATTACAGACGTCACGAAGAGCCTTCGTTCTTTCATCACTGAAACGCGATCCTCATTCAGTAATATAGCGATATAACTTTTTCTTTGAAAAATCCTCAGATGTATCTTTTTCTTGGAAAAATCCTTATGATATAGAAATATAATTATTAAAATTTTTTAATAAAAACGAGTAATATTCTTTCAAAAAATTCTAGCTGATAAATAAACGTTTCAGATTCTATCTGTTGAAATTGTGTTGTTTTTAAACAAATATGCTAATTAAAAATAGTGTAGTCACCGGTCGTTTTGTTTTACGCGTTTTTTCATCTTCTCGCACGTTGAATCATCTTTGTTCGAAATTTATTCAAATCGAAACCGCGACAAATCGGCGCAAGAAAAATCTCAAGACGTGCACAACATCAGGATTAATTCAATTGTACGTAAAGTACTTTGTGCGTTAATTTTATTGTTTTATATGCATCAGTTGTTTTGTATTCTCGCTTTGAAATTTTTTATCTAAGACCTTCCTATGAACACGATGATGCTTTATCATTTTTATGATGTAATTCTTATGAGTCACCTAAATATTACTGTTCTAAGGCCGCTGTAAAAGTAGAGGCATTGATGAACTAAATGGATGGAGCAATAAACGTGTGGTTACTTTCTTTTTAGAAAGTTTTAGTGATACTATCGGAAGCAAAGTAATTATTTGCGAACAGCGTATCGTAACGTCAGACTCAGATTCTATTCAGTGCCTTATTTTTATTTATGACTTTCAGTAATAACTCGGAATTCAGGGTAGCGTTAAAGCTTCAATATGAAATTGGAACATTCTTATTTCTTATTAATGTAATTGATTAGATTATTAATGTGTGCAATCGTTTTTCCATAATATTTTACTAATCCAAGAATCGTAATTTTAGATGCAACAGAAAACCTCACTTTTGGCGGAGAAGTGAGACCTTAAAAGTGCCCATGTCCCTTTTTTGCGATAATCGCCAACGACTCGTCTCACGTCTCAAAGCAAAACCGAATGAAACCCGCTGGACCCCAGGCACTTTCATCGTTCTTCAAGGTGGCGTGGAAGTTCCCTTTAACGACACGGACATAGCGTGGCCTTTCAGACAGGTGCGTATTTACATGCTATTATATTATGCTCTTTGTTACACTGATGGAAATGTAATTGATTTGGTTATTTTAAAACGCCAACGTATGCAAGATCTAAATTTTTCGGATAGAACGTGCGAAAAATTTTTTTCTATTTTATGGAGACGGTACACAATTTTGGATTTTAATTTTGCATTTAAATACAAATTTTAAATTCCGAAGTTCGGTAGTATCGAAAGAAATTTTTTTAATAAAAAAATTTGTCCATAAAAGAATAATGCGAATCACGATGAAAAAAAAGAAAAGCTCGCTTTTCCTTGTCTGATCTCTCAGAAACACCGTGTAAAAGAACTCCACGATCGTGACTGACGGAGGAATTTCGAAGATTTAACCGCAATTACGTGGTCCGACTTTTACGACTATTTATCGCACGTCCCTGCCGGAGTAACGACCGTAAAGACAATTGAACTTCGCTGCAAGGTATTTAATAGTAGTTGCCATCGGTGTGAGAAAGTTAATTAGATTTATTTCGCCAAGGAGATAGTAAAACCGCGCGAAGGAATACAGTTGCGAAATGAATTCGCCGAACTGGAATTGTTTATCACCACTGCGACGACTGGTACGAAACGCATATTGGCTAATTAGTCATCGATAAGATTGGCATGATGAATGTGCACACTTATGATATGCTGGAATTAGTTAACATGCTTTGCGGGAAAATACATTGACATTCGAATAATTATTATATATCAAAGGAAAACTTTTGTGCTTTTTATTATTAGAATATCTATTCCATGTGTTGAAAAATAACATGAAGTTGAAGAAAACAAACGATAAAAAATTAATTAAGCACCAAGAAAAAAGTGTTTACGTTGCATTAACTTGTTTGTAATTCATTGTAATAAAATTTTTTGGGAGCTCTCACTCGGTACAGTCTGACTGGTATCAGGTTTAACGAGATGCGAAAACCAAATATTATTATCTGGCGTGTTTTATCGCATGATAAATATCGTGGAAGTCTTACAAAGTAAGAGCGCGCATGTTTCTAAGAGTATACGATTTTGTCCTTCAATATGATATTCTACTTTGTTTTATTTATTTATTTTTATTTGTGTATAATGCAGTGACCTGCGTTTCTTCCTCTGAACTCTCACATTTTCTGAGATTAATTTAATTTCCGTGGTAACAATGCGTGGCGATAATAATGCAGCAGAATGGCAGGGAGATTTCTATCAGGAGTAGCTCTATGTTTGGAAGTTTATGAACTCTCGCCTCGCATGAATAACTAACCGCTCCACTGGACTATTCTGGTATATAGAGTTCCGCTGCATTTACATCACCGAAAACACGTTCTCATCAAAGCACGAACCGAAAATCGACGCGATGATCCGGTTGAGACACGCTCCTGGCGTGCAGACGAATGCTCTGGCAGATTGCCTTTAAAACCCGCTTTACTAGAACTGAGGTACCGTTCGGACGGCACTCTACAAAAACATACCGGCCGCTCCGTTCATCCGTTCGTGCTCCAAAGCCGCGCTTTGTTTAGCGATTGACCGTGAATTTTTCACTGTGCGGCAAAGTAAAATTTTGTTCCGTCTATTTCTTGGCTACGCTAAAACACTCATTTAACGACTTAAACACATGCGCACATAATATATCTTCTATTTATTTGCATATATCTCTTATTTACATCAACACAATAAAAAAATTGTTATTTTTTAATCGTTTGCAAAAAAGAACAAGAATATAAAGAAAAGTGAAAAAAATTTTTTAATATACTTTGCTTCATTCACAATTAATTTTTACATCAAAATTACATTTCAAAATTAAAATTATAAAAGTTTAATGGATTAAAACATTTGAACTAATTTTTTGTTGTAGCAAATGAGCGATATTTTCATGTTTTATTTACATTTCACGTCTTTCTACATTTAAAAACTCGTTTTATTTAATGAGAGAATAAGCGCGAAAAAATTTTTGCTGAGCGTACCAGGTGCATATGTTAAAATATATTCTGACTGCGTTCCCATGTGAAATATATGTGGTAGAACTCGAGCCGATTGTATTCGACGCTCAGCGAGCAATCTTTGTGTGCAGGTACTAACCGCTTACATTGCTCAGAATTTGTTCGTTCAGGTCACTGAGCTATCGTTAACATCTAAAAATAATGTTTCCAACTTTTCATCATTTTACATATATGTATAACTTATTCTTTAATTCATAAATTAACATGTAATTCATAAGGCGTTCAGTTAGTTAAGTAACTACGTTTCGGTTCTAATCTGATGTATGTTGCATTCAGTATTTTATCACGGATTGATAATCATTATCTGCATTCAGCGTACTCAGCGTTAAACATGGCTACACAATTCGACCCAAATTACTGCTCGTCTACGAGATCATTCTACTTTACGGTAAATTCATACGGTAAATTTTCGTACGACGGAGAAAAAATAGAAATTATAAATGCAATGAAGATGATATCTTTGCGGTTGACTCGCGAAAAAAACGGAACTTGAGCGAAGTAAATTCACAAACAAGAATAGCACTCGATCACGACTGGAAGATATTTCCTATTTCACTTTTGCTGATTACGTCTTGTTTTTTAATACGCTATAGTCTTTATAACGTGAACATTATCTCGAGATGTCCCAGAGCAGCTCGAATTTGTGCTACGCTTGCGTCATTGTTAATCCTCTCAAGCCACGTTTGCGCCGAGTTTATGAGCTTAGAGAGAATTGTATATCTTCATCCATTCACTTCCAAGTATTAGTTTCAGCGGTCTTAATGGAGAAATGTAATTTATGATAAAATTGGTAGAAAGGTCAAAACACGAGCATTTGAATAGATCTGGGCTTAAAACTAGTTTATGAAAACGTCAAGAGAGGATTAAAACTAGTTATTTATATTAATATACATATACAATACATGGAGAACGTAGAAGACTTAGTATAGTTGCTTCATTGTATATTAATAAATAACCAGTTTTAATCCTTTCTCGATGTTTTAATAAACTAGTTTTAAGCCTAGATCTAATCAATTGCTCCTGTTTGGATCTTTTAATTTTATCATCTGCAATTTTGAGCTAAGAAATCGACACTAATGTAATTCATGTTCTTATTTTAGGAAGATTTAACGACAAAGATTAAAAGTAGGATAACAGCAGATTTCGCAGACAATTTCTGGAGAAAAGAGTCGATGGGAAATTTGTTGGATTCACGACTGGTACATCCGGTGCTTCTGCGGAGCATCCCGCATGCATGCAATCAAGGTGGTGTTCCAGTTTCTAATTTGGCGAATAGCGTGCACTACTCGTTGCTTTGTGCGCAGCGCTCGCTCCGCTCACTCGACAGTTAAAACGACGTACTCGTGCTGAATTCGATATTGCGGTGCTATTGTTGCATGATGTTGCGATCAATACGGAACCCTTTCGTCGCCGGATTCTTTCTTAACGCAGCTGTACATTAATCTGCCGTCGTCGTATTCTCAATGTGTTCTTGGCTGTCCGTTTGATACATGCGCCACTCTTGGCGAATCAGCGATGATAATGATAACAGTTCTTAAATAATTCAATAAATTAATAAAATAGTATAAATAGTATTTTAAAAATTACACTTTGAGAAAAGAGAAAGAAAATTATTGTGATTTTTAGGAACATTTCATAGAAGGTGCGAGAAAGATTCGCGAAGAAAGTCTATAAAAAATCGTTCGTTAACGCTTTATTATATAAAACAGTTGCGGCAAAGTAATAGATATTATCCCTGCCAGTGTGTTCGCGAGATACACGTTCTATCGTGCTGCTGTATATATCTATATATACACAGAACTTCTTTAAGATAATACCTGCTGGCTGTGCCGAGAGCACGTTGACCTGATGGCTGATCGTTCTCAAGATGCTCTCTCACTCTCTTACTCCCTCGTCCCCGTTCTCGTCTCTCTCTCTCTCTCTCTCTCTCTCTCTCTCTCTCTCTCTCTCTCTCTCTCTCTCTCTCCGCATCGGACGGAAATGAGAGCCCGAGAGCGACCAAGAGACGGAGAGAGTGAGATGGCCCAACTCTTGAACCCAAACACAACAAGGCGCAACGCGTTACGACTCGCACGGACTCGCTCGGCTCATTTCTCATCGCTTCACCCTTGGAATTCCGATCTGCCGGATTTTTCGGAACTCACCACGGCGACGATGGCAACGGCGGCGGCGATGCTGCCTCCGCCAATGTCGCTAAAGATGCGATATTGTAGCATCAGGTATATATGTACAGTAGATCCGTTCTCTTCGCAACTGCACCTGCCGTATTTCTTTTTTTCTCTCTCTTTCCTTCCCCATATGTGACCGTATACACTTCTTTCTTTTTAGTCCTGGATTATTCCGTTTGTTCAACAGTCTACTAATACTGATGGTGTGTGAAATTTCATTTAGAGAAAACTTATTTGTAAGTAAAAATGCCATTCAGGTCTAAAGTAGTAATAAAAGAAGAAGAAGAATTTTTTATTCTCTTCAGCACACATTTACAAAACCAAGAATGGGACTTGGTTTACATTGTTCCTACTTCTTTCTACCTCACTCATCCATCCATACTTTTCTCATACGCTCTTCAAAGTAGGACTAAAATATTATTTTTATCAACGAATTGATTGAAACCAGCGTAGACTCAGCCAGCTTGTATAAACCGATGAGTCACAAAGGATTAATTAAAATAAAAAGGAGATATATATTATTTTAATGATTCTAAGATATATCCAGTCAATACAAACTAAAAGTGACTAAGATCAATGTTATAATTACACTTAAGAATTATATAAATATAATATAAAACATGAAGTAATATTACATTTATATTGTTGAACGCGGTGTTACATAAATTACATTGTTGCGTCATTGAGTGTGAAATAACATTAATTATGTTATTTTTAGTTGGTGTCGACCGGAGACTATAATGTCGTTTATTTTTTCGTTTTCTTTTTTTTAAATCTCCAATAGTTTTAATCGTTTTATTGTCGTTGAGTCCAAAAAATGTTTTGACCTGCACTCAGACCTGCATATATCCCAGAAAAGTCCAGGATTTTAATACAAAAAGGTGGGAAGATCTTTAAAGACGCCTTTGAGCGGTGCGACCTCGGCGGTTCGACTGATAAAAACGGCACCGAACAGTGGAAACTAAGAACGGCATTTCCGCTTCGGCCATCACGGGCGAAGGGGAAGCCGGCGCGGACACACTCGCGTGATCCTGTTTCCTGTACAAGCTTTTTCGAAGCCTCCGAGGGAATTGAAGACCCGACCGGGCGTGAGATCGCCACGGAGAATCCGCTGTAGTATTTTTATCGCGTTCAAGACAAGAAAAGAAGATAGAAACACAAAAGACTCGACTATTGAAAGCAAAGAGAAATTCCGTTCGTCGTAGTCGGCGATCCGTATCCTTAAAGGAGACTGACGCTCTAGGACGTCGCTTCGCACGATTGTGAAACGTCGTCTATTCGAAGTCGAGAAAAATCTCGTTGACGACCGGAGCTCGACGACTGGTAATACTGGTACCTGGGCATCGACTCGATGACGTGGCCCTGGCGGTATCAACGTATCTTCTCAAACACTCGGTCGGAATACTCGGCGTGCGCCGTTCGAGGCAGCATCGATTTCTCACGTAATATCGCGTGATGACCTATTTGCACGGAGGAAGAAGTCGGGGAGGAATAAGTCCCCGCGACATTCGATTTCGAGAAAGGTACCCATCTCCGGGAACGGGAATGCGTGGAAATAATCGTAAATATCGCCGCTGTAGACGTTCCCCTCGTCGCGTCGGTCTCGTCGCGGTCTTCACCTCGATTACGCAAGCGGTTATCGATTTTGCAATAAAAGAAAAACATTTATCGCATATATACCTTTTTCATTCTTTATTATTCCGTTGTTATCTTTACGGGCTTTTTATTTACGTTTTATAATTTTTATTATATTATGTGATACAATTACGTTTCTATTTGTAACATTTGCGTACGGTTGAAAGTATTTGTACATTAGATAGTAATATACACTGTCATGCTGTTATAGACTATTTCTAGAGTTAGTTATTTAAAGAGATGATATTGCGTCGCTATTATTACGTGACGTTCTTCTTCCGAGGCCCATCTATTATTCAGCATTGCTATTGCAACTTCCGTACTCTTTCGCAGCTCGTATATAGCTTGATTTGTTCTCTTTATCAGGAGTCGTTCTTTCAATGGTGCTTCGGCGTGGAGGAGCCAGGCTGTTACGGCGCTATCGACGTGAACACCGGTGCCTCGATCCTGTTCGTGCCGAAGTTACCGCCCGAGTACGCGATTTGGCAGGGCAAGCTGCATACTCTGGACGACTTCAAGGAACGATACGGCGTGGACGAGACTCATTATACCGACGAGATTGCGTCCGTGCTGAAGGAAAAGTCAGCGCGAGCCTTGCTTACGCTGGTAAGTCGCGCCTGGGAACAGATGGACGCTTACTGGTCTCGCTGCTTTCCTGTTTGCCTTCTCCTTAGGTAGAGGAGAGAGTACTCAATCTGGGGATAGTACAGACTTAAGAACGATCGCGATTTTACAATGCCGATTATGCAATTTTTCCTCCGTCTTTCATTCAAATTATTTTGTTTCTAGCTGCTAACGCGCGCGACATACCTATAGTCGTTGATAAACAAAGAGAAAACGGATCGAGTTGCTGAGTGAATCCCCAAGTTGAGCACCCTTCTCCATGTGCATGTGTGTGTCCGGCAATAAGGCGATTCACCGCGGCATGCCTCGTGACGTTTACCTTCGCCTCCTTCGCGACTGTCTGCCTCTACAATGTGTCGAGAAAGTTGCGTCGGTCGGTCTGGTTTTGCGAGACTCTCCGCCTGTATTTAATGTGTGACTCCCGGACGCTCTCCTTTACCAAACATTTGATGAATGCGAGCGCGTTGTACGTGAATTTTTGTCGCATTGTCACCTCCAATTAGAGACTCGTCGTCGTCATTCGCACGACGCCGCGCTGACGCGACGCGGCATTTGTCACGACTCGGCGAATGTTTGCCGAGTCGGGGGCATCGTCTGACGTTGCCTGGGATGACTTACCAGTCCTGTTCTCTGTGCAGTACGCGCTGCACAGATGGGACTCGCAAAAATCCGGCCGTATAATACCCTCCCGTGCGAAATACCGCGTGCGTGCGCGCGCGTTTAAATGCCGCCCTGTTGCTACGCGGATTAGAATTATGGTGGATTTAGCAGAATCCCAGAATGCAATCCTTATGCCTAGCTCTACGCGACACGTTCGTTTGTCAAATACTTCATGTATGCAAGTATACACGCACACTTCGGGATATTTTTTTACCGTTCCTCCCGAGGACAAACAGAGTAGTTGGGGTGGCGGAGGAAGACAGACGATTTATGCTTTGTTTGACGTCTCATATTTATTTTCCGTTTTACACAGTTTGCTTTTACATGTCTGGACTCTGATTTAAATCAGTTTATTCTCGATCCATTTTATAGTTTAGAAAATCGCGGTGGAGAAAATATAAATAGCGGGGCAACGCAGCCGGAGACACACGCAGTTTATAAAAGAAGAAATGACACGATAGCGTGTGTAACACTTTTACCCAGAAGCCTGATGACATGTTAAACGACGGGACTATAATAACGCAGAGTATTTGTTCTATCTGCGACCTCGTGCCTGCAACCTGTCAGCAGACACAACCGATTTACGATTTACATAGCTCCGTTGTGACATAGATATCGCGTTCGGATGAAAAACGGCCGATAAATTTTTCAACCGGTCGCTATCTAACGAGCAACAATTTGTCCCTAGCCGCGGTGCATCAATGACAACGTAACTGGGTGACCGCAGATATTACGAGCGACCTGAACCGTAGATTACAAGTACGTTACGTGGGACGCTTATCTGATAGCGCGCCGCCGCAAATAGATTTCGCGTCACGAAGTCCAAAAGACACGGCCGGCCTCGTATCGATTGCAACCGGCAATGCGGGACTTAAACTTCATACTCCATTTTAAGGAAACCGCATTAAACTTTTAAATACTCTCGGCACATAGGAATACACAGTTAATTCGTATTGTTAATAAGTTGGTCGATAAAAAGCGCTTTACTCCAGAAAGTAATTTTCCAAGATCACAAGTAGATTTTTAGTTAAAGTTTAAAGTTCTTTTCTTTTTTTCTATTTAATTCAGCCACAGTTGTACACATATGTATTGACGTTTCCCGTTAGCTGATATCTATCTTTCATATCTTCTGCAGGAAGTATAGTTGTTTCAATAGAAAGAGAGAGAGAGAGAGAGGAGGGGTGTATTCTATAAGGAGATATTCTGTTCGGATAATAGACCGCTCGAATAGTAGGGTGTTCAAATAGAGGTTATTCGGACAATAGGAGACTTCGAACAAAGAGGTTCTATTTGTATTCGTATCAAAAATGACAAGATGACATCTTATGATTCTTATTCAGATATCTACAGATACATTTAGTATCTAAGAAATGTTCAGATACTTTAGATTTTGTAATTTCTTAAATTTAATTTCCATATATTTCCTTTCTGTCTATAATATTTTTGAAAATTATGCAAGTCATAATAGTTCTTGTCTAGAATATTTTTAAAAACTATGCAAGTCGTATTAGCTCTCGCGATAACGTTATTGTGAGATATAGTAGTTTATAATAGCTGTACAATTATCGTTATTAACAAAAGCATTAATTATCTTGGAAAATACGAAGTATAGAAACATGTGCAATTTTTACCACATACTTAATATTTTTATGGCTATTTTTTGCAATTTTTATCGTGATGTAAACAACCTGTGCGTTGCGATAGTAAAGATATTCGGCAAATTCGCGAAACTAGTTTTACTGATATACCGGTTACGCGCGGGATCTTGCAATTTAAGTCAATTTGAGGCAATTTAGAGCATTTTGCGATCCCGCGCGGTGCGCATTAAGCGATTCCAGAGACGTTCGCATGGTTTACGTGAAACCAGGAAATTCACGATGTCTCTCGTGCGGTGAAACGGTGGTGTTTTCCAGGAATCGTAACGCGCGATTATTGGTCGACTTGAGCTCATTGAGATGCGCTCATTGTGTTGTATATAACGCACGTTACTCATCCCGTCAAAGTAAATTGACGTAGAGTTGTCAGTGTTTGCGCGATTAGCTCGATCGAAAACACAAGCTCGTATATGTCGTTAATACTCCACAATAGTTATGAGACAGGTCATTTAAACTGTTGTCCATATCGCTGGCTATTGAAAATCGATTCGGCTATTCTCTACACTCGTTTCTACGAATTCGTCGAAACTTCCCGAAATAACATCACGGTGGTTATTTACATCAGCCAGCACTGACGAAGCAAAATGTTTAATATCGAGATATTTTATTCAGCAAGACTATCTTTGGCATGCGGACTCGAGATGAGTTTCGTGTTATTTCTACTGTTTACCGGTACTCCAGACTGGTCTGTGTGTTAGCACATAGACGCTGATGAGTAGTTTCTAGCAGTGCCACGTAGACTCCGGCCTTGAATCTTCTCTCTATTTCCAGTGTCGCTCAATAAATCGAATTGCCGCAAAACTCGTTGGGAAAAATCAATATTTAATGTCTTCGCGGAAAATGTTATTTTGCTGAAACGTGCAGAGACAACGGACATTAATAATAAATAGAACAACATACGGTATTTGCCGCAAGGCAATCACAACCTCTTGCATTATTCTGAAATGTGTGAGAACGTTCAACATGTGTAAAATCGAGATCGGCATCATGGAATTTTCTCACGAAACACTTCGAGATTTCACGTTATTTAATATCTTGGCTCATGTTTTCGGATAGACAAAACAAAGAGTTGCAATAAATCCGTAAAACTTTCGTGTCGCACTTATTTTTAATATCTTACCTTTTTATTATAATAAATTTATTATAATAAATGATTTTATCAATTTGTTCACGAAACCGAACCAGTCTGCGTTTTGTTACAATAAATATAATACTGACGCAACGTTTCATATAATCGAGAACTTTTTTTTAACATTTATTTTAGAGGAACGCGTAACTCGACATTTAATCGTCTGGTTTATTTTTAAAGATTAATGTAACAGTCATACAATTTAAAATATACATGAAATCAAATATTTTTAGTTGCGATGCGATTGAAATATGCATCTCGCATTTTTAATGTTTCCGTTTTAAGTATAAATTATACAATCAACGTATTTGGTATATATTATATGTATAATAACATGAAACTAGGTGATAATTAATTACTGTTATTCTAAAGACGTCAAATCATTAATATTAAATTACATCCTTGGTATTTAATCATTAATTATACCGTTGAATATTGTTTGCAAACAATGCAGCTTGCCAAGCCGATTATCACTTGACAATGCGATATTCATGCATGACAAAGCTAATTTAATGGTTGATAAACACGAATGGAAACAAAATGATTCATAACGGTCGGAATAATACTATACCAAAATCGACGTATTTGTCGTGCACGTGTATAGATCATTGTGTCTTTTATGGTATGGTATATTTTATAAAGGACTGTGACAAAATCTTGAATTTCGTTTGTTTTCGATTTTTAAATTCGATTTTCAAACGAAATATACACGGAAAGAACAATTTTACTGAAGAATCTAAAAATTTAGTTAGAACTGAAAATAATTTAATGGATTATTAAAATTATTATATAGGGCGCGCAAATTGGTTGCTAGAATGTCAAAACTTTTTGCAGTATTACTCATCGTGCTTGAGTTTTCCACAAAATTATTTTCAGATCTGTGTCCATCTAAATCTTAAAATATCTCAGCAAAATCGTTCCTTTTATACGTCCGATTATACGTATATCTTGAAAACCTGTCGTTGAAATTTGTAAGAATTTGTTAAAGTTAAGCTTGATATTTCCGTGCACGATTAATTATTGCATATGCACGAAACTCGTTAAAATTCCTTTACCTCCACGGTCTTGTCGTCGCGCATGCAGTCGTTCGATCAGTATCGGTTTAGAAATTTATGATTGCCGATAGACTACGAGATACGTGGTATCTGCAATAATCTGCATGGCAAATGAGACAAGTTTGGGAACCGTATACGGTCACAGGGCGTTACATCATGATCCCCGCGGTGGTCAGGATTAAAGCTGAGGTTCGTTCGAGCGTTCAGCAGAAATAGGCACGGGTATATAATCGACGACGGGTTAGTCACAATGCAACCTTTCATGCTTAGCGGTAGCATACATGAACCGACGTATCTTCGCAGAGATATAGTCGCGCACGTGTGTGCCGCGGAATAAAATATCTAATTATAAAGATAGATGACGGAGGTTACCGCGTTTGACCTTTATAAAATGATACAAAAAATGCCATTCGAAATTTGCTGATGAGAAAGCTTAAAAATTCTTTCAAGATGCAAATAGATATAAGGGAGAGCATAAATTATAATAAATTTGTATTTCCGCCGCGACACGCCATGCGATATCGCGCTATCAAATGCTGCAATGTTATACACGTGCTATAATTACACGTTTAATCTGCTGGGGCCTGGTAAGGTAAATAGTTCGCTGCCGTAACAACTTTATACTAGTTCTCAGCATTGATAAACACTTGTTTCTCGCAGACCGACCACACACTCGCGACTCTAATTATCATTACATTGCAAACACAGTATTGCTACTGCATATTTTTATGCGACACGTCGCGCGGTCTTTTGCAATATCCGACACAACAAACGCTGACAAACACATTCGCGGCGTGGTATTCGCTATTTAGCGGATCGAACGTTTTTTTATTCCTCAGCGAAAACCGATTAATGCTCTCCAATATCGCAAGCGTGCGCAAAAAAGTGCTCGCTAGCGTCATTACGCAGGTGTATAATTCGACGTGTACTATGCAAAAATCAACTTTGCGCAAGAAGCTGTTACATGCAAAATATAGCATATGTAAAAAAAACCGTTTTAGCACGTATAATTTGCACAAAAACTTGTATACCCTACTTATCATATACATAAGCGAATAGAATTGGAAATTATCACATATTGAGAAAATATTGATATTTCAGACTCGAGTATTATGCGGCGTTGCGGCATAATATAACGTGCCGATTAATCGCTTAATTAATGCATGACGCATTAAGAATTTATGCGGACGTTATCATTCCAAGTGAAATACGTAACTTTATCACGCACGTTACCCTTCCGCGGACATAGAAATCAATGGCACAGAAAACGTTTGTTTCGCCTCCGACCGGATGGGGATTGCTTTCTCTATTCTGACTTGAATCCAAATTACGTAAGGCTTGCTTTTACTTTGACCTGCACGATATTCCGCTCGCACGTTGCTGTGTACATTGCTGTGTTGCCCAAACCACGACAAACCTGATTACGATTTACGGTCGTTCCTTTTCTCTCCTTTGCGCATTGCAGAATGGCAAAAACAGCGACAGCGGACTGACAACGCGCGAGACGATTTTCGATGGTATCGACGAGTAAGTATTAAGTGATGAGGAAAATTAAAATAAAAACATAGCATGTGACCGTTATGAACAATTTATATAATTACGAATTTTTTTGTCGTAGATTCTGGGTGGATCTTAAACACTTGTATCCGGCGATATGCGAGTGGTGAGTATATCGGTTTTCTTTCGTTCCCCCGTAATAAATTTTGTCATTCTAAATGCAGAGAGAGAGAGAGAGAGAGAGAGAGAGAGAGAGAGAGAGAGAGAGAGAATGGTAGACAAGCTTTGTGTAGTTAGATGATATCGAGGAGTGCATTTAGAGTACAATGTAATTAATATATATAACAATATACTATAAAAATCGCATTGAGTTACCATAGTTAAAAGAATGGAGCTTTTGTAAGCTTAGTTTTTGTTATTTATATCGCATATCGATTGCTTGAAAGAATCAGTGTCGCCATCAGCTGGTCGACTTGTGGAATCATACACGTCGCCACATCGGTATATTTCTGACAACTTTTTATTGGGTTATAATATACACATCAATTATTTTAAATTTTATATTTAATGTGACACGCGTTAAAAAAATAATTAAAAGCAATTATTCTCTCCTTACGATTATAATATTTTATTTTACCGTGACACAAGCATGAAGATCGAGAAGAATCTTTGAACGTTTCTTGAAGAAATTATTAATTACTGAATCTTGAATATATAAAGCTTGCAATGTAATGCAGAAAGGTAAAAAGAAGAAAATCCCTTTATTAGGGAAACAACACGTTCTGATTGTATTTGCAATTGCTATTATAGATGATACTTTCGAGCCGGGGAAATTTCTCTGCGAGAGCATTCGCACATTCTTCCCGTTTGATTTTTAAATTTAAAAAGAGGTATTTCGAATCCAAAGCGTGCGATCACGAGATACAGTTGACGCAGACGAACATCTTCGTACAAGAAGGTGCGCGCATACAAGAAGTTCCTTTAATAGTCAAGAAAATCACCAGCATCGAAGCTCTCCTCGACAAACAAAGACGGAGGACCATTGAATCGTCAAATAAAACTAAGAAACCCGCGATATGTCGTAAGGACAGTATCCCTTATTCTATCGGTACGAGCGTGATGAAAAATGGGCCTTTAAAAAATACTATTAGTATAGAAACCGATGAAGGTACGGCGATTCTTTACTGCTCTGATATCGAACGTCTTAAAAACACGGACGTGGAACAGGTTCTGGATGCAATAAACTCAGGGAAGACGGATAAAAGAGTTTATTCCATGCTGGAGAACAAGATCGCCAATGAGATAAATTGCCGGATAGCGCTCCAAAGTTTAAGGAAGATGATAGAGTTGGAAAGCGAATGGAACCGGTACCGAAAAATCTCGTCGAACGCTCAATCATCTGCAGAGACTATCAATAGAGACATGATATTGCAACAACTTGTAAGTCTGATTGTCAAAAGCCAAGACAGCGAGACAATATTACAGGGGCTAAAGGCGCTAAAGAGAGACAGATTTAGTCCTTCGACAAATATTTATAAGGACCGGATGTGTAATGAAGTCATGATTAGAGCCACAGACGGCGAGCTCACCATGTCGCAGTTAATCAGAGCGGTGAGAATTCTGGTTAATTATGGAAACTCCAAATACAGAAACTGCATAGACATGTTGTGGGTAGGTCTGGCATGTAGGGAGCAGGATATTAAACCAGATCTACTGGTTCCGTTATTCAGATCGCTCAAGTATTTCCAGCGAAGTAAAAATATGGTACAAATCATTTTGGAAAAGAAACTATCGGAGCAGTGGTTAAAGTTGACCGGTTCGCAGATGGCAAGTATACTGAACTGCCTCTACGGAAAAGAGTCCTCGCAAGAATGTCTATCGAGTGCTAGTAAATGGGCGAACGTGAGTATGACCACTTCTACCGAGAAAGATCTCGTCAATTTTATTGGCGGTTTGCACACGAAGGAATATGTCAATGAAAATATAGAACAAGCGTTGGTGAGATACGTAACGAGCAAAGGTACCGAAATGAAAGATCCTCATTTAATCGCCTCCATCATGGATTACTGCAAGGATTTACGAATTCGAAATCCGTATGTTCTCGCTGAATGTGGAAAATATTTTATAAGACATGGAACGCAAATCCCGCCTACGTTATTGTCTCCCATTCTCGCGCCATTTGGATTATTGAATCTACAACCACCGGATTCGACCAACTTTTGGAAAATGTTCGACGAGGTGATGTCTGCAAGATTCTCAGATTTGAAGCTAAACGACGCTTTAGACATTCTTCTGTCTTGCACATATCTTGAGAGATATCCCATTAAGCTTTTGGATAAGGTTTTCAGTTCGTATCTTATGAACAGGTTGCAAACGCAAAGGGACGCGCCTATCGTCAATCACTTGAAAAACAAATTAAAATTATTCGACGCGACCATGTCGTTGGAATGCAAAGATTATCGTGGCAGCCCGATTAATCTAGACAGAAACACGAAGTCGTTAAATTTAGATATGAGAATCAGGGGTATTATTAATAAAATACACAAACCACTGGCGCATTTGGTAGGCGGCGAGCACAAGTTAAGCAGGAGTGTGGTTTTGAGCAGGCTGCCTCTCATAAACTTCTATATTTTGGATATTCTTGTACATCCGCTCTTAAAGTCGACGCCAGTGTTCAATTTAAACCTACATAAAAAGCGAAACGTCAATACTGCGATTCTAATCTATTTGCCCGAATACTTTTGCTGGAATACGCGGTTCTTGATAGGGCCGCAGGTAATGAGAAAACGACAAGTTAGGAAATTGGGTTTCCGAGTTGCACATTTAGATTACGCGAAGCTGGCAGAACTCGTAGATCAAGACGACAAATTGCTATCCTATTTGTCACAAAGTCTGGACACCGCCGAAGATGCTTTATAAATCGTTTCGTGTGATACATGTATTTTACGGATGTAAAAATTTGCGGACGAGATTGCAGTGTGAAACGCAATTATAACTACATGTTTCTTTGATGACAATAATAATAATAAAGCAATGTACTCTAAATGGAATAGAAGTTTACAAAAAATTTGTAATTATTTTTTTTAAGTTAACATATTTTTGTAGTATCTTCGTAAATTCTTCTTTTTGTTTTATGTAGCCGGGTGATAAAGTCTCCTCAAGAAATTAAAGTATTGCGGTATGTGTGCAAGATAAGTTCGGAGGCTCACAAGACTGTAATGCGTTCTATGCGTCCAGGGATTCCAGAATACAAAGCAGAGGCTTGGTTTTTGAATTATGTATACGCTGAGGGAGGGTGCAGGCATGCATCTTACACGTGCATCTGCGGATCCGGACATAATTCCTCTATACTGCACTATGGTCACGCCGGTGCGCCGAATAATAAAGTCATACAGGATGGAGATATGTGGTAAGATTTCAGTTGCAGCTGATCTATTCGTTACAATTTGCTTATACGTACATTGCGTATTACAATACTTGCGTAACACGTTCTCTTATCTGTCACGCAGCTTGTTTGACATGGGCGGTAATTATTATGGATACGCGGCCGATATTACGTGCAGTTTTCCGGCCAACGGGAAATTCACCGAGGATCAAAAACTGATTTACAACGCAGTGCTGAAGGCGCGCGACGCCGTGATCGCAGCCGCGAAACCGGGAGTCGCCTGGACAGATATGCATCTGTTGGCTAATAAGGTCATGTTGACATCGTTGAAGAAAGGTGGGCTACTGGTGGGCGATGTCGAGGATATGATAAAAGCAGGTTTGAACGAAGTATTCCAGCCTCACGGACTGGGCCACTTGCTAGGATTGGATGTGCACGACGTTGGTGGATATCTGCCCGGTCATCCTGAACGCTCAAAGGACGCGGGAGTGAGAAAGCTGAGAACCGCGCGGACATTGCTCGCCGGAATGGTTCTCACGGTGGAACCTGGCTGTTATTTTGTAGACTGCGTAAGTATAGAGATAATTGGCAAATAATTCTTACACGAATTTTAGAACAGTCCTATCGGATGTTTATGTGGAATAATTTCCGTTATAGTTGCTCGATGCAGCTCTTGCTGATCCGATCCAGTCAAAGTTCCTTGTGCCAGAACAGTTGCAGAGATTCCGAGGTTTTGGTGGTATTAGAATCGAGGATGACGTCCTCATAACGGAAACCGGAGTCGAAAATATGACGGATGTTCCTCGCACGTAAGTTCATTCTGAGCACGTTTATTCACTGTTAATATTATTTTGAAAGAAAACTATTTTACAATTTTATATTTCAGAGTTGAAGAAATAGAAAACTTCATGCAGAGTTAATTGGTCAAGAAGAAAAATTCGCAAAATTCGGAGATTTTGAGAGATGAAGAACTGAAAAGTTGAACAGGTTGCTTATTAATTAACTGCATAAATACATTTGTGATAAGAAGGTATATTCATATAATTTTTTACCAGATACGTGTATATATTTGTATCGATTTATACGTAAATATAACGAATAAAGCAAGAAACTGAGATACCATAATGTAATGTTACACCGCTACGTTATGGTATATCGTTAAATCGATATTTCTGCAGCTATCGTGTAGCAAAACTTTTCAAGCAAGATTTTTCAAACCCACGCATTTGCACGTGCAAGACTTTCTCACGCTAATGGCTTAGACTAAGGCAGGTAGATTTAAGATCACTGGTAAAAAGTCATTCATTCTGAGTTACGTCTATTTTGGAATAGCCTTGGTGACTTTTGACGATAGAATTGAAAGCAGTTTCAACATATAGATACGTTAACGTTACGAGCTAGGAGATTAGGGCTTAATTCGATTCACGTGGATACTTTTTTATCGCGTGGACCATGACCTTTCGTGCTTCGGGCTTTCGTGGGTTAGAAGTTCGTCCGCTTTTATATTACATTCCACATTCGCTTGGACATAATCTAAATGCGGTTATTATCGTGCGTGAGCGCCTTAGAATTGCGTGACCGACGCAACCTATGTGCGTGCTGTTGCATACTGCGATCGACACGCGAAACGTCAAACTAGCCAACATTTGCCATGTATCGCAACATCTTAAATTTCACAAGAGTAACATAATATCGGACAGTCAACGTCAACAAACCGAACGTCCCGCCCGGTAAAGAAATCGCGAAGTACTGGAGCGCTCTCGCGTCTCCGATTTCACGCGTGATGGAAGATAATTCGTGCTGTATCTTCTCGGGGAAAACGATTAATGATCACCGAAGGCATTGACGTCAAAACACTTTACCGCCGTTCACGAAGATTTCGGTGAAAATACTATAGAAAGCGAAGGAGAAAGCGGGACGTGAATGACGAGGAATTGCATCGTAAACCCGCGATTGCGTGTGTAAAAATAAAGCATTGGCCCCTGGGCGGACATTATACCACAATTAGATTGTGTATAGGTCTGAAAATACGCTATCGGCTGATCTCGCCTACGAGAGGTGAAACCACTTGCAATATACATATATCTATTTCAATTTAAAGTCCCTTTAATCTTGCGCGACCCTAAGACCGGGTTAACTCGTGGAGGTCGCCCGTTTTTCGCAGAGAAGTCAAAACCCCAAAGGAAATCCGCGGTCTATCGATCGTCTACGATCACCGTCGGGACCTCCATCTCGATGGAACCGGCGTGGTCGGTTTATAGATACGTGTTGCGAGAATATAGAGCGCGGACCACACGGTTGACGTAACACGTCAGCATGTCACACGCCGCAGGCGGAGTACGTTCACCGTAGAAATTCTATAACAGAGTTATAACAGAGTCTAATCATGAGATGATAAACATTTTAGCAACTCGTCGTTTTTATCAACTTTAATAAGTTAGAATGAATATGTAAGATGGTACAAGCTAGAACGAGATAGCACTTATAAAAAGAGACATGGTTGCTTTCCAGCAAGAGACACAGTGTGTTTCCAGCAAATAACACAGTGTAATAGAGTGGATTACATCCTTGTTGTTTGCCAATATTAAACAAAGATGATATGATCACTATGTCACACTGTGTTGCTTGATACGTCGCTTGAAGGGTATATATACTTGGAAAGCATTAAGTTTATATACTCTTCTTTCTTATTCTTCTTTCGATAAAATTGCTCGACTTTGTTATAGGGTCTCTAGTTCACCGGGAAAAAGAAATCCCAGTGCACGCGTACCGTAAACTTATCACGGTGTCGTAGTGTCAACGATACGCGCCGCGACGCTCGTCGGCCGCGCGATCGAAGCGGAAGCGCGCAGACGCGCTCGACAGCTCGCGGATATTGAGCTCTTTTTTTCTTTCTTTCTTTCTTGACGAAGCGTCTTTTTTCGCTTCGTTTAATGAAGTCTGCTTTCGCTCTAGAGATCAGCTTCTCGAACAGCTTCGTATTATAATAATGATTACGAGTTTGCGCCGCGAGGCTTTTAAAAGTTTCTTTACGAAAAGAACGGTTTTGCCGAAATATCTAAAGATTAATTAGCTCCAGATTAAAAATAATTTTATTGGTTCATGAAAATAATTATGTAGGACGTTCAAAACTGATCGCTAGAATGTCAACAACATGTTTGGAACTTTGCTCATCGTATTTGAGATTCCTCTGTAATTTTGATGGCCCAACAAAATTATTTTTAAATCTGTAAGATTTTTAGATACTTTAGCAAAATCGTTCTTTCCATGATATCCGATGCGTTAAAGGAAGGAAAGTTTAAATTAGATTCGAATCGGTGAGACCCTTATTCGCAACTTTGCGGAATGGTCATTATTATCGGAAATAGATTTTCGGATAAACGGAGAAGGCACTAAAAGGTCCTATTATCTTTGCTCGATACGTGTAATTTTCTCCTCGAATGAACCAGAATCATTAGCACAAAGTGAAGGTTCTCCATCGTTCAGACCGAGCGATAAAAAACGTTTCCACTTGAAAAAATTGTGAAGAGTATCTTATACACTTAAATTCATAATGTCAAATTATATCTATAATTTGAGTTATTTGTAGTCATTTCTATAATAAACTTCTACTCAGTATGTCGTTAATTTAACTAAAACAATGGAGTTAAACAATTTAGCTCAAGAAAGTGTATAGACATTAAATTTGATTCAGATTCAGTTTATTATTTACTAAGAGTTGATTGTTCCATCTTGAGATAAACTACGTGTAATTTATCTACTGGATAAATAAAAGAGTAAAAGAGTAAGAACATAAGAGAGTAAGAGAGTAAAATAGTGAGCTGAAGTTTAACGAAAGATGGAACAACCCAACCTAAGTATATGATAATAAGGGCATCGTTTACATTAACTACAGAAATGGATTGATTTACATTTTGACACATATGGAAGTTAAAAATAACAAAATGGTATTTAATTCAATTGGGTCAGCATTGCTCCTTTGACAGCTATTAGTGTAAACGTCTTTAAGACGTCTTTCGAGACACCTTATGAGGTTTGATCAGCTTGAACTGGTTACATTAGCGCGACTATCGGCGCAGGGGGGATTTGGTACCTCCCCACGAATCAACTTGTGGCTTCGCGCCACCGGCTCGGCACTCCAAAGAGACAGACGGAGACGGATAAAGGAGGCACTCGGATAAGAAGAGGAGAGCGCGATAGGCAACGCGGCAAGCAGGCGTGAAAGTCGGCGGCTTCTCCAACACGCATGCCTGACGCCCGCTGACGCCGTCGCGGTCGTCGTCATCGTCGTCG